ATATAAATATAACCTAGAATGTGTACTCGTGAAAAAAGAAAAATATGGAAAATTTGTAGTTTTTTTGCAGGTTTTAGGTTTGATGGTAGCTTTAAGGCGTATATTTGGGAATTTATTAATCGCTGTGAATATAGTGTGGATGTTTGTTCAGTTCCTGAACAATGAAAAATATTCAACTTTATGGATGTATGGATATCAAAAAACCGGAATGGTTTTGTGGGAATATCAATCTAAGGTGCCATAATGGTTCTGATGAACGGCAAGTAAATAAATGAATGTTTGGAAACGAGCAATATCTTTTGGTAGAGCCTGTCATCAAGTAGATGCTTAATGGCTATCTGCAAGAGGTTTATAGAAAAAAACACCCAGTATCACATATCAATTGAAGAAAATAATATAAACATGAATAAAAAATCAACAATAGAAATTAAAAAAGAGTTTAATTCAAAAATCAAACATTTCTTAAAATTTTGACTGAATTATATGTAATTTCTTAACATTCAATAAGCTGGTAATGTTTCAATGACAAGTTGTCATCTCATACTTTGACAGTATTTTGTTTTCAACATTTGATAGCTATTGGTTGCTAAAATTTGTTGTATGGAACTGAATCTGACGGTCTGTTACCCTATAGGTGCAGAATAACGGACTGTTGTTGGTGAAATTGGGCCTTAGTATTCTAAAAATCAAATCCTACAATCTGATACTGAACTCAGACGTATTCGCTTACTTTGGTTTTTACATCCCCTCGATCATTTCCCATAACTTTTAAATAGCTCAACCGACCTTTATCAGACATAGCTAGGAACCATCTCGACAGACAATACTTTTGAATAAAAAAACCCACTAAAATCGGTTTTTCCATTGTGAAGCTAATAGGTCTCTAGATTATGTGATGAGACTGATTTCTTTTTATCCAAATATAATTGCAATTTTATATTGTCACCTTCAAAATAACTTCTTTCTGAAGCCACACAGTACTGCAGGCGGTTCTTCCTCTCCTCATAGAAGTGCTGGAACTCCGATACTGGAATAGCATTTAGCTGGTCAATTACAGCCGCTTGAATGCTGTCGACTGTCCCAAAATAAGTTCTCTTGAGGTGATTTTTCATTTTCGAGAAGAGAAAAAAGGCACAAGGACTCAAGTCAGGCGAATGAGGAGGCTGAGGAGCCACATAAATGTTTTTACTGGCCAAAAACTCGTTTATTGACATAGCTGTGTGACAAGGAGCATTTTATCGATATTCAACAATTGTTCTTCATCTGATGAACGGTGGTGAGTCATATTTAACTCTTCCCCGATCATTCTGACATTCTTCCTTATGAAAATTCCTAACGCACCGAAAAACTTTGGCTCTTGACAAAACACTATCTCCGTAGGTCTGCTGAAGTTTAGCAAGAGTTTCCGTTGCACTATGTCCAAGTCTGAAGCAAAGTTTGAGAGACCGTTGCTCGAAAGGAAAAACTCTTCCACGGAAAAAATCGCTACCAGTTTCGGTCCAAAATCAGAGTTTCGGTTGAGTTTCGGTTTCGCCAGAAACTCCGCCGAAACTGCAACCGAAACGGAAACTATGCTTTCGGGCGCCTGTGCGTAAATTTATACAGACCAAAAGTCAAATTTGCTAGGGGAAAATTTTGAAAAATTGTTATTCTTATTATATAATATAAGACTGTTAAATTATGATTGTTAAACTACGTTCTAATGGCTTGTTGCACCAACATTGAATTTGAGTTTTTAAAACTACATAAATCTAGGGACTAATTTATGTATTGGGTTGTCGGAAAAGTCATGACGCTTTTTTTTTGTTTATTTTAAGGCCATTTTATTCATATACACCACAAACTTCAATCAATAATGTATTGCCCATTTTGATCGATGTCCTTTCGCCATCTTTCAGGCAGCTTCATAATTCCTCGCTCGTAGAAGGATTTGTCTTTACCGGCAAAAAATTGAACAAGGTGCTGATGTACAGCTTCATCTGAAGTAAAGCGCATTTCTCGCAAGGAATTTTGAAGCGACCGAAACAAATGAAAATCAGATGGGGCAAGATCAGGCGAGTATGCTGGATGTGGTAACACATCCCATCCTAACTCCAATAACTTTTGACGAGTGAGCAAACTTGTGTGCGGTCTCGCGTTGTCATGGTGGAACACAACTCCTTTGCGATTAATGAGCTCCGGACGTTTTTGCATGGTGGATTGTTGCAAACTGTCCAATTGCCGACAATACACAGTTGTATCGATGGTTTGGTTCTTTGGCAGGAGTTCGAAAAACACGATCCCTTTAAAATCCCACCAAACAGAGAGCATCACCTTTTCCTGATGACTCTCTGCTTTCGCGATCGTGTTACGCGTATCTATACTTCGGGACCAAGACCGTTTGCGAACCACATTGTTGTAAACAATCCACTTTTCATCTCCCGTTATCAAGCGCTTTAAGAAAGGATCGTTTTCCTCACGTTTAAGGAGCATATCGCAGATGTCTACACGCGCCGTCAAATGAACCTCTCTCAGTTCGTGTGGTACCCAACGGTCGAGTTTGCTTACGTATCCCAGTTTCTTCAAATGGTCGTGAACGGTTGAATGATGGATTTTTAAGGTTTCTGCAATTTTCCGTGTGGTGTAATGTGGGTTTGCTCCTACCAATGCCTTTAATTCGTCACTATCCAACTCAGTAGGCCGCCCTGATCGAGGTGCGTCATGGATATCAAAATCCCCATCTCGGAATTTTTTAAACCATCTCTGGCATTGCCGTTCTTGTAGTGCATGTTCTCCATAAACCTTTCTCAACTTTTCACACGCTTGTCTTGCGTTCTTGCCTTTGCGGAAGTAATACAGCAAAATGTGACGAAAATGCACAGTTTGGTCGTCCATCTTCAACGTCCTCTAAAATCGACGAGACTCAAATAAATCTCTTAATTTTTTGGTGCAAATGAAGCTTGAAGTGTCAACTGTCAAATTACACAATCAACATACAAATGTCATTGACTCACGTACTTCCAACCATGCAATTGCATACTTTGTTGCATATACGTCATGACTTTTCCGACAACTAATAATTCAAGGTACCACCTTAACTCACAAATTATTGGAGAACCGACAAACTAAATTTTTTCAAAATTTTCATAGTTACTAATCCAAGAAATAGCTTTTGTTTTGGGTATTTGAATGATTCTTACAGAAAACCAGTATTTATTAGTGTCAGGATAACTAACTAATCGTTTAAAGCAGAGTTCCCCAAAGTTTTTTGTGTCGTAGACCCCTTGCCATGTTTTTCCGTGATGGGTAGACCCCCTACTTACCTGATATTGATTTCCTGTAAATTTCTAACTGTAGTGAAGTTTAGTGTTAAAAACTTAAAGTAAAAACACATGTTTATTTATACATTTATTAATTGAATTTAAATTAAAACTACTCAAAATAAAATTTTGTATCTGTTATGTAAATATACGTAACATTAAATAAACAGGTATCTGACAAATAAGTGCCCGCATTGGGAATAAGTGCCCGCATTGAAAAAAAATTAAGAGGGATAAAATATAAAAAAGGGAAAAATAATAAAAAAAGGTTTTTACTTAAAATAGTACAATAAGCGAGTTCGCTTATTAATTATAACATAAACGTATGTTCTACAATAATTTCACTGTTAGTTTGATTAAATTCCGCTTCTTATACGTTTAAGTTATCTAAAAATAGGCAAAAAATTAACGAATTTTAGTGTGTACCTATCCTTGAATTTTCAGAATAATTTAAAAAAAATATTTTCTATAATGGGGGTTCTTTTAAAAAATGAATGCGGGCACTTATTCCCAATGCGGGCATTTATTGGTCAGACACCAATGAACATAAAATAAACTATAAATAATATAACATAAGCAATAAGTCAATATTTTTTGTGAGAAGGATGAACCTGATGCTTTAATAATAAATTATCAACATTTGGCGTCAATTTTGTAAGGGTTAATCTTAAACCTCCTCGGCTAATGATGTCCAGTCTGTTTCTTTTTTTCGTTAGGAGATTGGTAACAGCGCTGAACCCCCTTTCCACTAGATATGACGATGGAAAGGAAATTAAAAATTTCCTCGCTATATTCCATAATACGGGATAAGTAACGGGTATGTTGTTTTGCAGCCAGAATTGCTGATATCCGTTTTTAAACTGAACCTTAAGTTCTTCGTTTGTACATAGTTCAGTCAGTTCCTCTTGTATTATGACATTCGTTTCTTCTATGTCACCATATGGATTAATTATCCACGGTGGTATTACCATAGTCAAAATATCCCCAAACCAAGATTCAAAATCTGAATAGAGGGCATTTAAATGTTGAACGTAAGTTGAAACGTCGTCTTCCTGGCAGCTTGTCTGTGACAAATTGGGGAACTGAGAAAATTCGCCCCGTCCAATATTTTGCTTCATTAGTTTAACTCTGGCAAGAAACGCTGATAAGATGGACTTTGTTTCAATCAAATTTAAACTGTCGCCTTGTAATTGCAAATTAATCATATTAAAATTTTGTAAACAAATCTGTTAAATAGGCGATGTCTGTTTTCCTCTTCATCAAATTTTCTTTTAAAATTTTATCTTTAGTATCCAGAAATTCTAAAATAGTCTCAAAAAGTGCAAAAAATCTTGTCAAACATAAGCCTTTCGACAGCCAGCGTACTTCAGTGTGAAGGAGTAATTGATGAAAGTGTTCGTCATTTTCTTCACACAACTGCGCAAATAACTGCGTATTCAACGCGTTGCTTCGGATTCGGTTTACTGCATCAATGAATGCAGTGATTCATGCAATCTAACACTCAAATTTTTAGCAACTAAATGTTATCGATGGATGACGCAATGTATTGCTAACACCCCTGACACATTTTGTTTTAAATAGCTTATAAATCCACGATAACGTCCAACCTTGGCAGGTGCTCCATCTGTAGCTACTGATATTATATTTGATAAAGGAATTGCTTTTTCAATGAAGTAATCCTTCAAAACATGAATTATTGATTCACCTAGTGTCGGTTATCAAAGTTCTTGCGAAGATCAGTTCTTCGTAGATTTCTTGATTCATAATAAAACGAACATATGCCAATAATAATGCTGCATTATCAGCTAAAGTTGACTCATCCAGTTGTATAAAGAAATGGGTCGCTTGCAAATAATTACATAAGAAGCTTTCAATATCAGAACTCATTTCATCAATACGTCTTTCAACAGTATTGTTGCTTAAGGGAATTCTTTTAATGATATCAGATGCAGGTTTGTGTAAAACAGTTTTTAAAACCTCTTCAACGGTTGGCAAAATTAACTTCTCTCCGATAGTATGCGGTTTTCCGGATTTTGTTATAAGTAACGAGATATTGTAAGACGCCCGCAAACCATCATCATTTCTTTGTGACGTCGAAGCGAACATTCTGTCCAGTGTAGGTCTCTTCTGAAATTTATCTTTGAGTGTTTGAAAGTATTTCAAATCTTTCTCTGTTTTATCTTCTCAGATGATCTTACAGTTTAGATGGTTTCATAACGTCATTGTCCAAAACTTTGTTGCATAAAAGGCACGTAGGCGACTGTTTGTCCGGCAATGATGGAATGAAGCCAAATTTCAAATAATCAACACTGTAGTGTCTACATTTCTTTTTAGATTCGGACCTGGCATCAGTCATCTGTGGGCAAAATTAAATTATTTAAATAAGACAGAAAATCCAGCAGCTGTATATTAAAAATATTTTTTGATTTTTCCGAAAACATAATTCGAACATCTTCTTGCAACAATTAGCTCGAATTACGGAGATTGCACTGTAATTATATTACCGATTGCTAAAACTTTCAAAAAGAAACTATTGAGGAGTACTCGTGTAATTTTGCATGATTGAATATTTAACTACTAATAACTAAAGTCATGATTCGCGTAATTTATCTATCTTTGCTAAGTACGAGTACAAAACTAAAATTTAATAAAATACTTACTTTTCTCCATCACTCTCAAACAAAATAACACTGACTCACTATAATTTGTGTGATATACTGTTTATATTTTTTAAAATATTTTCTCAGCACTTTCCTTTTCAAGATTCAGGAAAAGAATAAACGTATTCGTCCCACATTCGTATTTATAGAGTGACGAATTGAACAACTCAGTGCAAGGTAGCGAAGCTCTGAGACTGCGACTCTTAGGTTTTTACAAGTTCAAAATGTATTGCGACCACAAAGCGAATACCAACATCCTACAACTTACACAATTTTATAAACATATATAATAAATTTTTTACTTCATAGGTACTTTTATAAATAATGTATATGTTTTGATATTATAAGATAGTATGTAAGTAAATAGGTACTATCAGTGTATGTGTTGAGATCCACTATCGTGGACCCCCATATTCATTTCATGGACCCCCAAATTTTTTTTCGCTGACGTAGACCGCTTGCAGGTTGTCATAGACCCCTAGAATCGATATAGACCACTTTGGGAATCAATGGTTTAAAGTATCACCATAACCAGTAACATACATTTTTAAAGACTAAAAATGCATTAGACGATCTTTAAGCTGCAAAAATTGATCGTTTAAGTTAAACATAGCTTACAAAATTTGAAAGGGGGTTTAAGTACTTGTGCAATAGAAATCTTCAAATTAAGGTAGGTTTCCGTCTAAACTAACTTTAAATAGTATTAGTGCGTTAGACCTTAAATTGTTATTTTTGTTTTATTGTCTGTTTTTTTACAAAATATTAGAAACAAAGGACAGTATTTATTTTTTGTTTTAAGAGACAAATGTAGTACTGTTTTAGTTTTCCTTACCTGTATCTTAGTAATGTTTGATGAAGACTGACTATTACATATTACATAGAGTTTTTTTTCTTTAATAAATAACTGCTTTTATTATTACTGATATTAATTTATAAAGGCTGAGGTTATTTTTTCAAGGAGATGCACTATTATCTCACCTTGCAACCTCCCAAATCATTCTCTGTTGGAACTTTAGGTTTCGGCCGAAACTAAAATTGGACCGAAATTTCGGTTTCGGCCAAAACTACAATTGGACCGAAATTTCGGTTTCGGTCAAAACTAAAATTGTACCGAAATTTCGGAATCGGTTTCGGCTAAAATACTAATTTCGGTCGGACACCACCACGGACAACCAAATGACTCGAGCGCCTTCAGTGTTGCCAGATCGAACGCTACGTTACGAGTCTCGTTACTTGACTTTCAGATCCTTCTATTACTATCTCCATATTTTTGATACTACAGCAACAGAAGGAATGGCGACCAACACAAATGTCGAAGTGCAGACCCCATAGCCTTAAAAAATAAAAATTATTAGTCATAACACATTTTAAATTATCTAATCAGCCCTTCTATGAAATGTAAAACAAAATGTACCCAGTATATATTCGACAGGACAAGATGAGTACTCGAACTGTGTTTAATTTATGGTTTTAATTACAGTTCCCAAAAAAAGCAACCAGTCCGAATTTGCATTCCTTCCAATTCCGCGCATCTTCTAGAAAACAATTTCATTACAATTTCAAATGAAACCAACGAACTTTTAAGCCACTATTAAACTTTTTTCCACTTACGTTTTAATTACCAACTTTCTTCTTCCAGATTATTCTCTGTTGTTTTTAAATGCACAAGATTGTGGAGCTGCTGTTTCTGTCGATAGATAGATAGGTTAACTTTCAGTTGTGCTACCTTTGGGTTTGATCATTATTTACTTTAGAATCTAAATCTTTTTAACGTATTTTGCATAAAGATAGCGAGCCCAATGCTGAATTCGCGGGTTCAAAAGATTATCTGAAATAAAATGAGGTACTGTAGCGTCATCTATGAAAATGTATCTTTTAGATGGCGCTGTCTATATGAGCATATACAAGCACATAAGTGCGCCATTTGTGCGTTACTGACCCGTTCAAACTAGGTATAAATAGCAATATACCCATTCGGGTAAAAAACGATAGTCTATGGACAAAGGCGCTGTAAAATTTCTTAAGCTTAGTAAACTTGTAGCATCAATGACAGGTAGAGGTCTAACCAGGGCAACACAAGTTAAGCGCTCAATTGCTGTAAATAACTTACATTTTAATAACAATGAAACAGCTGTAAAAGCGCCTGCTTTAAGGAAGTTAACGAGGTATTGTTCAAGCTCAAATTTGGAATTGGCTGAGGCTTGGAGAACCGAGGAAAGCTTCTTCCTTCGTGTACTATTAGAAACGGTGTCCAGTAGAGTAACTCTATACTTCCCACGGCTTTTAAAATTTTTAAAACTTTTAGATCTCAAAAGTTGAATGGTTCGAGATAATTTTTAAATGCTTTTAAGAATCTAATCAAATTGAAACTTGTATAGGTATCCAATATAATTTTCTGCTTCATTGACAAATGTATAGAAACTATGAATGACTATTATGGTATATCTAACAGGTATTATACTAGTTTGTTTTTTTCTCAATCTCAGACATCATTGGATCCACTTTCAATACCCATAGATCTCACCAAAATTCGAGCGTACAGACAAACAGACGGACCGACAGGAATGAGTGATATGACTTTTAGTGATGTACATGTCATGCAGTATGCAAGAAACCTATTTGTTTTCGAAATTTCTGGCTATTATAATGCCTCCTAGCCAATCTGCGTGCGAAGTTAAATGAGCGCATTTACCTACCAGTTCAGGAGGAGCTTTCATAATGAGAAGGCTTTGCTACTAAATACACTTTAGAGCTTCACTTCATTCTATAGCTGCGTTAGACTTACGAACTGTCGACCAGCGTTATAGAGACCTAAACTCTGTAATGTGCCCGTAGATCGATAGCTTCTCCCGTAATGGTATTTGTTCAGTGCCCTTTGAACTTTTGTTGCCAATAAAGGAGCATCAGTAGCGATGTTTCAAGTATAACACGAAAATGCTGTTATGTTCATTTGGAAATCATTTCATTACCATCCTGTTGGCTGTAACGAACATAGGCCAAAACCAACATGACCATTTTGGGAATGTACCCACTAAAGAAGGATAGTATGGACAGGAAATGGAAGATGATGATGACGTCACAATACCACATGATATATATATATATATATATATACACGCCTCGTTTAAGAGCTAGTTACAGTGTGAGAAGCATTTTGGAGTCAACGAGGATAGTAGGTACTGTATTGCTACTTAAGCGGGGTGTTTTAAATCTGACTCTCACCAGTGTAGTGGCATTCCGGAAATAGTGGGAAATACAAAGTCCGTTATATGGACAAAGCATTCCCGAAAACGAGAACCTGGTACTTAGACCGATTCGTGATTCAGAATATTTTCGGATAGACGAAGAAGACCCAGGTTTTCCAAAACCGTTTCTATTTTTTTCTGACTTCATTGGCCGTGAGGTTTCAAAATAAATTGCATATTAACGTTTTCACTTTTCGTCTTCTACATGGTGGCATAATTAGAATGTCAATATGACCCTAACTTTGCAGTTTTGTATTTATATATAGGACAGGCTAAATAATATATAAAGAAAATGATATATAAGCATGAGTATGACAAGAAATAATAACGCGTTAGACAAACTTGCATTTTACAACTCTGCATGCATTTGATTTCACAAATGTAAAAATTCCAAACAAAGTACCGGACTATTTCGAAACAAACTTCCTTGAAATGATATATAAAGAAAGACACTACTAGCATAAATTATAGAAGTGATACAAATCAAGTATCTATACTGAACTCAATAAAAGAACGCTGCTGTTGCATTTTCCCACCCATACCACCCCACAATTTAAAACATACTATTCTTGTATATATTTTTTACCTTTGATTTGTTTTCATTTTTATTAGCCTTATCAGTTGGACATTCCGGTTTTTATACTGCTTATTTTTAATTCATTAACGCTCTAAAAATGAATATTTCAGCCGCAGTAAAGAATCAACGTTGGCGGATTTTGGTTCTGGACATCCTTTACGATCGGTTACGATGCCTAGAGTACGGAGACCTGTACGATTTCGTCAACTTAGTGAGTTAGATAGGGGCCGTATAGTGGGACTTCGGGAAGCTGGACTTTCTTTTCGGGCAATTGCAGTTAGAGTGCAAAGAAGTGTAGACACTGTGGTTAGGTGTTGTCAGGCATGGCTTCGAGAAGGCCGTACGCAAAGAGCAAGGGGCACTGGACGCCGCCGTAGAACAACAGACCGTGAAGATCGCCGCCTACGATTATTGGCCTTAAGGGACCGTTTCTCCACTACCAGGTCCATTGCAAATGAATGGTTTGCAGAACACAGAAGACCTATTGGAATGCGAAGTGTTTACCGACGAATGAGAAGTTTTGGCTTGTTTTCATACCGGTCACACTGGGTCCTCTCTTTAACTCGAGAACACCGACGTAATCGCCTTGAGTTGTGCATACAACGGTCACTCTGGGATCAGGAATGGAACAGTATTGTCTTTAGT